GCAAAATACAGTATTTAGATGATCACATGGCTCAAACGAGATCAGAGAAACAATGCAAAATCATTTTTTTTAAAAGACAATTACATGGAACTTCAGAAAGACAAAAGAAAATTAAAGTATAAAAATGATGATAAAAGCATGTCAGTAAAAATAGACATAAGGGCAAATAAGTTTTCTAGCACAAACATCAAAAAACACTGATTTTGTATTTTCAATAGATGCAAATTCTCTAAAATAAATATCTAATATATACATGTATATATGTATAATATATAATAACGATTCTTAAACACGGTTAGGTTAAATCTTGACAGCTTAACAAAGAGAGCTACAAACCTATTGCCTCCCATTTGTCAGGAGACACAACAACAATCCAGGGCTTGTTTTCTCTTTTTTAATTTTTATTGGAGTACAGTTAGGTCCCATCCTGGGACCGGGAAGAGCCCCTGGAGAAGGAAATGGCAACCCACTCCAGTATTCTTGCCTGGGAAATCCCATAAACGAAGAAGCCTGGCCAGCTACAGTCCTTGCAGTTGCGAAGAGTCGGACACAACTGAGCGACTAAACAACAACACAGCTGATTCGCGATGTTGCCCTAGTTTCAGGTGGACAGTAAAGTGACTCAATCATACATATGTCCACTTTTTGAGATTATTTTCCCATATAGGATATTACAGAGTATTGGGGTTCTCTTCCAAGAACACTTAATTTTTTACCTTGGGAAGATCTACTCTAACTGAAGTGAAATTCAATAGCTTAAAACAAAAAAAAAGCAGCTATCAACATTCCAAATACCAAGGATCTTATATACAAATGTTAAAGAAAAAAAAAAATCACAGAAAAAAATCCAAATGCTAACAAAACTTGATAAGTATTATGACTCAATTTATTATTAAGAACACATAAAATATTAACCACACAGACAAGAATCATTATGCTTAACTGAGTCATATACCATAAATGAAAATATACCAAGAAGTCTGCTTAAAAGTCACTTGTTTAAAAGAAATTTTATGACAAAACTGGCATTGATGTTATGTAAAAAATATAATTTCAATCTATATTTTAAACTTACAACTAAGGATCACAAGATATTGTGGACAGAAACTTGTGAGTGGTAATATGTGTTGTAATTATGCTCAAAATTCAGCTCTAAAATCCCAAATTTTTTTCATATAGACCTGAAAGTTCTTTTATCAGATATGGAAATATGATATTTAACCTAAAAACACTGAGTATTTACAGCACAAAAGCTATAAAAGAAAAAAAAGTATTTTCAACCCAAAGATTCTAATCACTGAAGCCTGGGGTTGGGGGGCAGGGAGGGGAATCTACCACCATCAGTACTATTGTTTACAAAATACTGAATAACAACAGCAGCAACAAAATGACAACAAAGTAAAACAGTATAAACATTTAATTTCATATTTCAAAACATATATTATGTCCTGCCATATTTAATACTAACCAAATAAACTGATATAGCTCCAGCTATATTTTGAGTGTTTCTCAAAAACCTCAAAAACAGCAAAGAAAGAAGCACATGACTCTAGTAATTTTGAGTAACATGCACTCAAACTGTAAAGAATGTCACGTATCTATAAAAGAATTTTTCTATTAAGAGATTTTTTTTTAATGGAAAAGGAAGCAAGCTATACTCTCCATTAGTTCTCAAATGCTTTTTTATTTGCTGATCAATTCATCTGTCACTAGTTCAGTAATGTTCAAACATTTTCTCTTGTTTTATACTATTTTTTGTTTTTTTCAGACAACAAACATTTACCATGAGGATTAGGAATCTGAGGGTACCTTAGTTTGGTGGTTCTAGCTGACAGTCTCTCCTGAATTGCAAGCAAATCATCATTACTTTAAGATACAAAACTTTTAAAGAATTGCCTGCTCCCCCCATCACCACCAACATTAAATTCCATGTCATAGCATACGCAGCTCTGTAATATTTACTTACGAAAAAACCACAATCTATCACAGTCACATTTTGGTGTTTTTTTTAATGTAAAATACCCTCAAAAGTTTTTTGTATTATACTCGCTTCACTAAAGCAAATGAGCCTTAATCTCATGAAGATTTCCCGAGGCATTAAAGTAATAAGTATTTAAAAGGAAGTCAAAAGAAGACACAAAAGTCTGAAATTATACATAGTACAATAAAGAATTTCCTACATTATGTATCAACTATAGTATAAGATAATGAGAAATGTACACTACTCTTAGCCTCCTACTGAAGATCAAATTTATTTCAATGTAATATTACCAATTAATGACGCTAGGGACTTCAATTTCTTTTATGTCTAAAACTAAAAGAGGAAAAATCATTTTGTAACATTCTATCATAAAGGAAAAGTTACTAGAAAACCTTTCTTTTATAACCATGCTTCAAACATCCCTCTTAGTGCCTAAACAAAAATGTATCACCTGGAAAACATAAGCTTCTAAATTAGACACTCCTTTCAGCATGTTTTCAACTTCAAAAGAGCACAAAACATCATCCAAGTCCACACACTTGTTATCTGAAAAAATTTTAGAGTTGAGATGAATTCTTCAAGATTAGTCATATAAGTAATATTTGTCATGATTACGGCTTTATTAAAAAGAAACAGCATTCAGCTTTAAAATAAATCGCCCATCATCCCTTCCCTGACAAACGAACGTTACTCTATTTCTATTCAGCCAAAAGAAAACAGCAAATATATCTTTGTGGTCTAGCTTAGCAAATCAGTATTTAAAAACCAATGCAACTGTTATTAATGGATCAGAACCAAGCATTGTAACAAAACACACCGAGTGGATTCTCCGTGTGTGTGCAGGTGCCCATTCATAATATCATGATCCTCACACATGTGTTAAAAACTTAATTTCTATTTAATACCAAAGCATTTTTACATAATACATAGGTTATTATAAAATTGCCCTCTTTAATGTTCAAAGAAAGAACAATTTCTAAAGTAAAGGATGAGAAGAGCTAATACCGGATTGCTGCCACCTATCAACTTTAATTCAAAGCAAAGTACAACTCAATGTCATTTATACCTCTAAAGCAGCCACGACTGAAACAAAATTAAGTTCACTGTGGATAAAGTATCCTGGCATCCACTGGATTATTTACTTCTGATTTGATAGTAAGTATGTGTGGCGTCTTTTGTCCCGCAACATCCCAGGGTGTCAACACCATGTTAGTCAAAGGAAATAAGGAGCAAATCCCTCAGGTCTACCTCGCACCCTAAGTATCAGAAAGTCATGGCCTCCACGGTCGTTACTACACAACAAACAGATTCTATAGTCCCGTGCCCTCTTCTATTAGATCTGGGAAAGCGGGGTGGGAAAGAAGTGTTTAGTATATGATGAGAATCCTGTGTTCAGTCCTGGTACCCGAAGCAGCATGAATACAAGTGGTATGTGGGTCACCCACAGAGAGAGAAACAGAACGAAGCTTTGCGACCCTCCAAGTTCAGTGAAGACACCAAAAGCCTCTGGAGATACGGGGCACAACCCTCCGGGGAAACCGGGGAGCAGCAGACGGTCTCCGAGTTGGAGTGACTGAGTCTGGCACAAGCCCAGGGCGTGGGTAGCGACCGAGGAGTCTCCGGTACCCCTCCCCTCTGCACCAGGGTCCGTCACTGGGCGAGGGGTGCGGCCGGAGGAGGGGGTCAGGACCGAGAGAGGGCGGGGGGCGGGGCTCCCCCAGCGGCGTCCTGGGGGGTCGCGGGGGGGTGTGTCCTACCTGGGCCGTGGCGGTCGCAAGGATTTCGGAAGGAGGGCTCGGGTCCAGCTCAGGGCCGGGACCGGCAGCGGTCAACCCTCAGCAGGCGGGACGGCCGCCGCCTGCCCATCCCCCGCCGCCAATTGCGGCGGGACCGGAGCGCGGCTTCGAGGGCCGGCAGGCTGGGTAGTCCCCTCGGGTGCCGTCCGCGTTTACTGGCGGCGGCGGCAGCTGCTGCTGTTACTGCTGCTGCTGGCCGCCCCCAGCCGCTGTGCTTGTGCCAGCCTCTGCTCCTCCTCCTGCCGCCGCCGCCGCCGCCTGGTCCCCACCGCTCCCATCGCCGCTGCGGCGACTACTGCAGCGCCCGCTGACCCGACCCGACGTTATTCTCCCCCTTCGCAACCCAGCACAGCCTAGCCCACCTGCCCTGCCAGTGCGCACGCCCACCTCTCCGCCGCAGGTGCTGATTGGAGAGCGCGCCCCAAGCCCGCCAAGTCGGTTGGCTGATCCCATTGCCTATCACGAAAGGGGCGGAGAGTCGGGCAAAGAGCGTCTCCGCCCCCCACCGGAGAATTGCCGCTATCTTCAGGTTTGCCTGAGAGGGCGAGTTACCGGGAAAGGAGCATCACAATGGCAGCGCGCGTGCGCGCGGGAATTCTGGTCCTTGTAGTTCCAGCCTCATCCGCAGCTGCCCGCTCGTCCCAAGCAGCGAAGTAGGGCTTCTGAGACTGGTGGTTGGCGCGTAGAGGCGTCGTCCTAGCTCAGCAGTTATCTTGGTTATAGAGACACAGTTGTGACGCCAGGATTGGTCTTTTCGGAAGAAGATCGGAAATGCTTTGTCACGATACGAATTTACACACGCCGAAGAGTTCGGTCGCGAAGGGCCCCAAATCTTGAGGCCCTGCCTTGCCACCTCCTCAGAACCCTCGCTGCCAGGATCTGGCAAATTGGCTCTGTCCCCAGAACAGCCTAACATGAAGCTATTCACCGGTGTGTACTGGGGACAGGCCTAAAAGTGTAAGGAGGAAAGGAGACCGAGACCGCCAGAAAGGCGTCAGCCTGGAGCCCGGCGTATCCTTACGGTTTTCACATTCATGAAGAACAAGATTTCACTCCCTTTTTGGGAAACACCCCCAGTGAAGGGTTCAATGAGCAGCCCCCGTGAGGTGCCCAGAAGTATGGGCTTCTGGGCAACACTGCGGGAATCCCTCCAAGACTTGAAAAAACGAGAAGGGCGGAGCAACGAGGCTCTGTGGGCTAATTTGTCTTTGGTGTATCAAGCTCTTTTGTAAAGAGGAAACCTTATGATAAAAACCCCTCTGCCATCCTTACCCACCAACTTACAGAAGAAAAAGCTCAAAGAGGTTAACAGTTTTCCTAGAGTTATAAAACTAATTAGTGGAAGAACCAAACTCCAATCTCGTAAACTCCCGTGTCCAGTGCTGTTTTTACTTAATAATCACAGTGATTCACGGGAGTCTGAAATCCCATGGACTGAAAAGACTGTGATGAATTCTGAGCTTCATTTTACTTTAAATCTTTTTATTTCCTCAAGTGACCTTGTGATTAAAGTTGATTCAGAATATCTAACGGTTAAAAATCAATCCTATATTCAGTCTATAACTATTATTGAATCTGTTTCTTGCTCAGGAAACGCCACAGCCTCTTGACATTCTTTGAAAAACAGCAGGTGCTTCTACTGTCATGTCTAGATCCTTGGATAAAAAGCAGGACAAAATGTACATTAAAGGCAATGGATGATGCAGCTCTCTTGTTCTATTCAAAATTTCAGAAGTTGCCAAATTGTTTTCTTTCCACTGATGAAAACCACAAGTTGCTTTTTCCATTACTTTGTCTCACAGAATATAGTTCACTTCAGGGTATTGTCAGGGCAAGTAATTTGAATTGGAAAGGATCAGTGTTTCTGTAAATAATTTTCTTTAATTTTAAAGACATTTATAGGGGAAAACAAAGTCCAGATTCATTGAAATTATGGACAGCAGGATTTCAAATAGCTATTCTCCATTTGAAAAGGATATTTTACACTCACTTAGCAAATACAGTGTGTCCTCTTCAAGCTACCCAGATATAATCTCTGCTATCATAGATAAGGGTTTGAGTGAATTTATTCATAGAACTATTGTTTATTATAGCTGGGTTCTCCAAATGTTGGAATGATGATTCTTCTTCTGATTGTCTTATGACCAACTCTCATTTGCAAATCCATGAAGGATAAGAGAAATAGAAAAGTCTGTGAGAAAGCAGTCCAGCAGCTGTATCTAAAGAGTTGAAGAGGGAAAAAAAGTGCAGTGCAAAGGGAAGTGCTGTATGATAAATTTCTTGAGAATAAGACAACAGTGTATTTCAGAGTGGAGCTTCCCAGGTATTGCAGTGGTAAAGAATCAACCTGCCAATGCAGGAGACACAAGAGATGTGGGTTCGATCCCTGGGTCTGGAAGATCCCCTGGAGTTGGAAATGGCAACCTGCTCCAGTATTCTTGCCTGGAGTATTCCATGGACCGAGGAGCCTGGTGGGCTACAGTCCAAGGGGTCGCAAAGAGCCAGACTCAGCTGAGCACTAGCACCGTATAGCAGACTAGGAAGTTTAACAATGAATATTATTATACTGAGAGTATATATTATAATGAGAGTTAATGCCACAGGTATAGGAATTCCCAAGGAAAACGGCTTCCCAGGCCTCTTTTTTTTCCTCTGGTGTTTTCCATTTGAGAATTACTGGTCTGTTCCAAGAGATATTTGTTCAGTTAGGATAAATGGCAAGGTAATATATTATTCAAGAGCTGGTACAAGAACTCAGGAATCTCCTTTTGAGATACATGTATCTCATATATATATACTACAAAATAAATGTGGTAGCCAGCCTATATGATGGCCCCCAATGATCCCTGCCTCCTGTTATCTTTACCTTTGTATAGTCTCTCCCATACTGAATTGGGCTGCCTCGTGTAACCAATAGCCTTTTTCAGAAATTGTGTAAATTCCAGGTCTAGGCTATAAAATACTTTGCAGCTTCCACTTTTTTTTTTGCCACCTAAGTTTTTTAATTGAAGGATTTTTGCTTTACAGAATTTTATGGTTTCTGTCATACATCAACATGAATCAGCCATAGGTACACCCATGTCCCCTCTATCCTGAACTTTCCTTCCCTCTCCTGCCCCATCCAGCTCTTCTAGATTGTCACAGAGCCCCTGTTTGAGTTCCCTGAGGCATATGGCAAGTTCCCATTGTCTGTCTATTTTACATGTGGTAATGTAAGTTTCCATGTTACACCCTCCCTGCATCTCACCCTCTCCTTCCCTCCCCTCCCTTGGGGTCCATAGGTCTGTACTCTATGTCTGTTTCCCCATTACTGCCCTGAAGATAAATTCATCAGTACCATCTTTCTAGATTCCATATATATGCACCAGTATATGATATTTATATTTCTCTTTCTGACTTTGCAGCTTCCACTTTATGCTCTCTTGGATCATTCACTTAGAGGAAAGCCAGTGCTATAATATGAGGACTCTTAAGAAGCCACTTGGAGCTCGCTATCTGGCAAGGAACTCGGGCATTACACCAATAATCAGCACCAATTTGCCAACCATCTTAGTGAACTGTTCTTGGAAACAGATCCTCCAAACCCAGCCAAGCCTTCAGATGACGGCAGGCTTAGCTGACATTTTGATTACCACCCTGTGAGATACTTTGAGCCAGAACCACTCAACTAAGCCACACCCAAAATCCAGACCCACAGAAAGGATGTGATACAATAAATGTTTGCTGTTGTTTTAAGCACTAAGTTTTGGGGACAATTCATCATGCAGGTGGGTTCGTTACCACGAACGCCACCTGGGAAGCCCAACTAATATAGTAAGACTGACAAAAATGTGGCAGAGAAGAACAACTCAAATTTACAGATGTGTGCTCTGGATAACTGAGACTGAAACAATGAGACTGTTTCTAGGATCAGCCTTAGAGTGTATTATAGGATAATGAGCAAAGTTCAGATTTATACTGAGTTCCCCACAGAACATAAAGCCTCTTTCAACACAGCTTCTTTTCTCCAGGACAGAATAAATAACATACTTTATTCTTTCCCTTCATTTGTAGCTTCCTTTACCCATATTTAAATATCCACTGATTTGCTACTTCTTAAGCTTCCTCTAAATCTAAACAGGAAATAAATCTAGTTATTTACATTGTTTGTACAATACCACAGTGAACCAGTGTGCAATTCAAGGAAAAGAGACCACATACCTTTTGCTTTCCCACTCTCTTCTAAATAAAATCTCATGTTGTATGCATGCATGCATGCTTAGTCACTTAGTTGTGTCCTACTCTTTGCAACCCCTTGGACAGAGGTACACTAGGCTCCTCTGTCGATGGGATTCTTCAGGCAAGAAGACTGGAGTGAGTTGCCATTCTCATCTCCAGGGGATCTTCCTGACCCAGGGATCGAACCCTGGTCTCCTGCATTGCAAGCGGATTCTTCACTGTCTGAGCCACCGGGGAAGCCCCTCATGTTGTATACCTGAAACTAATAATATGTGAATTATGTCTCGATTTTTCAAAATCTCAGAATTGTGCACTTTAAATGAGTAGATTGTATGGTATGTGAGTTATAATCATCTCTTGGTATTCCTGGAGATTGTTTCCAGACCACCACCGCTCCTATAGGGGATCCCTCCTGTAGGTCCTCCTTGCAGATAACCAAATCCAAGGATACTCAAGTCCTTTGTATAAAATGGCATAGGAGGAACTAACAGTGTTGTAGATAAATTATACTTCAAACAAAATCATAGAGATCAATTTGTGGTTACCAGAGGCAAGATGGTGGGGAGGGGAAAATGAAGGCAGTCAAAACATGCAAACTTCCATTTATAAGATAAGTAAGTTCTAGGGATGCACATGATAAATATAATTAACACTGCTTTTTTAAAATGTTTTTTTGCTTTCTTGTCTTTTAGGCTGTGCATTATATATGAAAGTTGTTAAGGGGGTAAATCTTAAGAGTTCCCATCACAAAGAAAATTTTTTTTTCTATTTTGTATCTATATGAGATGATGGATGTTCATTAAACTTGTGATAATCATTTCATGGCGTAAGTAAGCCAAATCATTATGCTGTGCACCTTAAACTTGTATAGTGCTGTGTGTCAATTATATTTCAATAAAACTGGAAGAAGAAAAGCAAACAGCATAGTACTTGCATATAACCTATGCATATCCTCCCATATACTTTAAGTCATCTGTAGATTACTTATAATACCTAACAATATAAATACTATTTGAAGAGTTGTATGACATGCAGAAAATTCAAGTTTTTCTTTTGGAACTTTCTGAAATTTTCTTTTCAAATATTTTCAATCCATGGTTGGTTGAATCCATATATGCAGCACCCAAGGATACAGAGGCCCAAGGCACTGACTATGGATCTCAATAAAGCTTTTTTAAAAAACTCTCCAGTCTTTTGAAACGTGAAGCTAATAGTGGACTGGTGCTCAAGCATTTCCACAAACCAGCAAACAATCCTGTTTTTTAAATTTGTCGTCAATCTAACCAGTTACTATTTGAATGTTACTTAATCCACTAAACAAAACATTTTAAAGCCAATCAATGCCAACCGCTCTGCTATGCACTGGAAAAACACATATGAATAAACAGTCTTTGTCCTTAAGAGTTTCAGAGTGCATTAGCAAACATGCAAATCATATTACGATGCACCGTAATAACTATTAGAAGTATATTATGTAGGCTACGAAGATGCTCTAGAACAGGGGTCAGTAAACTATACGTGGTTGGCCAAATTTGGGAGGGTCCTCTGAGAGCTTGACCTCTTTAAGCCAATTTCAGCAGCATGTTCATTTTGACAGTAATGCATTCACATTAAATACACTACAAGTGTTTGCGTTTTTGAAAACTTCATCCTTTATTTTGCTGTCAGGGGCTTTATTTCTAATTAAAGAAATTTCAAATAAAAAGGAACCAGTAAGAAAAAAATGGCAGGGGAGGGGGGATAGGTAAAGTAATCTCAGTTTTGGATATATTAGTCTACTGTCTTTTAACCTGTTGGTGTTTGGTGTTCAGTGATCATTAAAATAGACCATAATATTAGGGAAGACTGACACTCATTGATTGAAATTAGTAAAGTTAGAAAAGAAACTAAAAGTTAATTTGCATTTACAAAAGTAATTCTAATCATAGTTATTTCTTGATTGACTTCCTATTTATGCCTAACTTTACAGACTACAAAACAACAAACCACTAAATGTTAAAACCTAGCTTTTTAGAAATTGTGTTCTACTAGAACAGTAAATTCTCTACATATTTGCTCAGTCTTTTAGGTTTTCTCTTTGTTTCAAGGTCATCAATTAACAAAGCATCATTGGATACTCAGAATTTTCAAATGAGAAAGTGGTGAGGTGATGTGATTCCTAATCTGTGTCTGCAACAAGTCTGGAAAAATGAGTGATTTTCAATCTAGTTCAGAGATTAGCAGCTCCAAAAGCTGAATGGCTTTCTGTGATTTTAAGGTAGAATAACTGACTGGCAATGCTAATAGCGCACCCTAGTGGTCATAGTATTCCACTGCCAACTGTATTGAAATAGAACAGGCTCTTTTGTCTTATTAATCAAAGTTGACTATCCAGTGGATAAGGATTTATATGATTTTTAGAAATCAGATGATGATGATGATAAATATGATCTTTAAAAATATCTTTCTGGTGGTGTTACTTGGATATTGAATGTTCTACAAAATGAATCTGCAGATGACAAGTGAAATTTCCAGAAATTTAGTGGGTAGTACATCAAGGTAAAAGATGACTTAAAATGCAACATTAAAAAACTAAGGTCATGGCATCTGGTCCCATCACTTCATGGCAAATAGAAGGGGAAAAAGTGGAAGCAGAGGCAAATTTTATTTTCCTGGGTTCCAAAATCACTGCAGATAGTTACTGCAGCCATGAAATTAAAAGACACTTGCTCCTTGGAAGCAAAGCTATGACAGATTCAGACAGCATATTAAAAAACAGAGTCAACACTTTACTGACAAAGGTCCATCTAGTCAAAGCTATCATTTTTCCAGTAGTCATGTATGGATGTGAGAGTTGGATCATAGAGAAGGCTGAGCACCAAAGAATTGATGCTTTTGAATTGTGGTGAGGAAGACTGAGGGTCTGTTGAAATGCAAGATCAAACGGGTCAATCCTAAGGAAATCAGCCCTGAATATTCATTGGAAGGACTGATGCTGAAGCTGAAGCTCAAGCTCCAACACTTTGGCCACCTGATGGGACGAGCTGACTGATGGAAAAGACCCTGATGCTGGGAAAGATTGAAGGCAAAAGGAGAAGGGGGCAGCAGAAGGTGAGATCATTAGATAGCATCACAAACTCAATGGACATGAATTTGAACAAACTCTGGGAAATGAGTGAAGGACAGGGGAGCCTGGCATGCTATAGTCCAAGGGGTCGCAAAGAGTCAGACACGACATAGAGATTGAACAATGACAAGAGATAATTTATACTCTTCAGTTCATCTATATTGTTTATCGAGGACCACATCAACTATTACAATTTAGCTAACTAGTTCTAGAAGCTGCCACAAAAAATTTGTGTCCTCCCCTGACTGAGGCTTGTTTATAGGCATATAAATTCCAGTAAGTGATTTTGCATTCATTGAATTGCATTATTTTCATTTTATATTTTACACTGAGCCTGATAAGTTCATTTGTTTCAAGTAATTTTTGTTAACAGTTTGATAACATTTATTATAAAATTCTTTTTAGTTGTCTTCTGGAGATGAATTTCCCCTAAAGGAAATGTCTATCCTCAAAATGACTTGAAATATGTGCATTTTTAATTGATTGGTTTATTAAAATCACACTTGATTGCACTAAATGGAGACAGAGATATTTTATCTTTTAAAAATCAATTCTTCTCCATTCCAATTGCCACTCTCCTTCTTAGATCATCACTTCTTATCTACATTACTTCAGTTGAGGCTTCTAGCTGGTCCTTCCAGTCTTCGCAGTGTCTTGTTTTTTCCACAGGGTAGCCAGAGAGCTCTTTGTAACTGCAAATCTGATCACATTATTTTTCATCTATGAAAATAATATTAGTGATTTCCTCATTGCCCTGAGTATCACTTACAAAGCTTTTTTATGATCAATTTTCACTCTTGTTATTAAGTAACCACACTCCATTCTCCTGTCCATTGAGTAAAAGAAGAAATAAGGTATAAGTACTGGAAGAGAAAAGAAAAGATATGTTTATTACCTACATAGTAAATATCAAATACATCTAAAGGAAAATGTTAAAATTAACGGCATTAAAAATGATGCAAATTAACTTATTTACAAAACACACGGAATGCCCTGAATCAGAAACCTTTATATATTGCTGTGTTTCTAACAGGAAGAATACTTAGAATTCAGGAATCAAGTATCACTCCAAATCACATCTTAAATGACTCCCTTGAGAATTCTGTGCTTTCTGTCCTTGCAATTCTGGGTTCTTTACAGTTAGATGTCTTGGTCCCCAACAGTGGTTCACTCTTGCCAGGGGACACAGCAAGGGTCCTTCTAAACTATAAACTATGGCTGTGGTCTTTTGGACTGCATGCAACTAGCAAGCGAGTACAGGAGTTGCCATTTTAGCAGGGGCAATTGACCTGGATAAGCAGGAGGTAGGGCGGCTTTGGATTAAAGAAGGAACATGTGTGGAATTTAGATGATCTACTTGGACATTTCTGGGTACTCCCTTGCCCAGTTGTGACTGAATGAATGGCTTAGT